TCACTCATGATTTTATATACCTCTATCATATCCCCCCCCTTAGTCTCCTCTTTTCTAAGCTGAAAAGTCCTAGCCTCTTTAATCTCTCCTCATATGGGACCCGTTCCAAACCCCTAATCATTTTAGTTGCCTTTCTCTGAACCTTTTCTAATGCCAGCATATCTTTTTTTGAGATGAGACCACATCTGTATGCAGTGCAGTATTCAAGATGTGGGCATACCATGGATTTATATAAGGGCAAGAAGATATTCTGCGTCTTTTTCTCTATCCCTTTTTTTTTAATGATTCCTAACATCCTGTTTGCTTTTTTGACCACTGCTGCACACTGCCTGGACGTCTTCTGAGAACTATCCACGATGACTCCAAGATCTCTTTCCTGATTAGTTGTAGCTAAAATAGCCCCCATCATATTGTATGTATAGTTGGGGTTATATTTCCCAATGTGCATTACTTTACATTTATCCACATTAAATTTCATTTGCCATTTTGTTGCCCAATCACTTAGTTTTGTGAGATCTTTTTGAAGTTCTTCACAGTCTGCTTTGGTCTTAACTATCTTGAGCAGTTTATTATCATCTGCAAACTTTGCTACCTCACTTTTTACCCCTTTCTCCAGATCAGTTATGAATAAGTTGAATAGGATTGGTCCTAGGACTGACCCTTGGGGATCACCACTCCATTCTGAAAAGTCATCATCGCTCCTTGCCAAGAGTCCAGTTGGCCCATATGCAAGTTGGAGCAACATCCTTCAATGGCTGCTGATAGGCTGGCAGAGTGGCCATATGAGCTGGAGTGTAGTGCGCTCCAGCCCTGCCCCCCTACGCTACAGGTTGTACAGGACAGCAACATAGGGCTACCCTACGCTGTAAGGGTAAGACCAGGATTGCCATGGGGAGTGAAGTATTACAGGGCCAGAATGTGAGCCAAAACTGGCCTCTGTCCCTCTCTTCTATAGCACCTTTTGTGACCTGTATCCAAGGAGATCTTGCATATTACTAAAATAACAGAAACAACAAGGAGTCTGGTGGCACCTTAAAGCCTAACAGATTTATTTGGGCATAAGCTTTCGTGGGTAAAAAACCACTTCAGTGAAAGCAATAGTTTTTTAACTTAAATCTGCAAGCTCATAACATGACAGAGTGGCATGTTCGTAGCACAAGGAATTCCAGATATTCAGGGAGTTCTGCATCGCCCTCTATCCAGAATTCAGGTGGCTACCAGCAGATATACTCCCACATAAAGCAATGCACATGATCAAGGATTCTAGTGAACCACTGAGATTTTTTTTTTTTTCATGCCTTAAGTTATGTAGTTAACATGGGACAGGCAGATAAAAGTTTACTAGTTAAATCTTGCATTATTTTCAAGACTGCTTTCTAAAGCAGTGGTCCTCAACCAGGGGTCCGGGACCCCCTGGGGGACAGTGATCAGGTTTCAGGGGGTCTGCCAAACAGGGCTGGCATTAGACTTAATGGGCCTAGGGCAGAAAGCCGAAGCCCCACCGCATGGGATTGAAGCCTGGGGCCTTGCCACCCTGGGCTGAAGCCGAAGACTGAGCAACTTAGCTTCACAGCGCTCCCTGTGGTGTGGGGCCACGAGTAATTGACCTACTTGTTACCCCTAACGCCGACCCTGGCTTTTATATGCAGGAAAACAGTTACTGTGGTGGGCCGTGGAGTTCTTATAGCATGTTGGGCGGGCCTCAAAAAGAAAAGGGTTGAGAACCCGTCCTCTAAAGGATGAATGGGTCTGATGGTTAATGACTAATATTTGAATCATCCTTCTAATTGACTATACTTCTTTTTAGCTTTGTTCTAATGGAGACTTATTTTCCTTGAGGAAAAACACAGCCTATCCCCACGTGTGGGGGGAGGGGGAATCTAACACTTTGAGATGTCGCCATGTATCGCTTTATACTTAAGCTTGGCTACCAGCCTTGTATAGCCTTTCCATTTAATAACTTTTCATCTATAACATAGCTGGAGAGAATATCAATACATTCAGCAATGAGCTTAGAAATTTCACTTCTTGTGTATCACATCACAGACCAAACTCTCGCTCAGCCCTCTAACCCTAACCAGTTAAACAAAACAAACATTACCAGTGTAGGCACAAAAAAGTACTAACAGAATTCGTTAAAACAATTATTTGGTATCTTTCCCAAACCTGTGTGTGTATTTTAAAAAACAAACAAACAAAAAAACACTTCATCTAACCTTTCAGAGTAGCAGCCGTGTTAGTCTGTATCCGCAAAAAGAACAGGAGAACTTGTGGCACCTTAGAGACTAACAAATTTATTAGAGCATAAGCTTTCGTGGACTACAGCCCACTTCTTCGGATGATGCATCCGAAGAAGTGGGCTGTAGTCCACGAA